TCCTTTTTCCTTTTTCCTTCTCCTTTTTTCTCTCCTCCTTTTTCCTTCTCCTCCTCCTTTTTCCTTTTTCCTTCTCCTTTTTTCTCTCCTCCTTTTTCCTTCTCCTCCTCCTTTTTCCTTTTTCCTTCTCCTCCTTTTTCCTTCTCCTTTTCCTTTTCCTTCTCCTCCTTTCTCCTCCTCCTTTTTCCTCCTCCTTTTTCCTCCTCCTTTTTCCTTCTCCTCCTCCTTCTCCTTTTCTCTCCTCCTTTTTCATTTTTCCTTCTCCTCCTTTTTCCTTCTCCTTTCTCCTTCTCCTTTTCCCTTCTCTTTCTCCTTTTTCCTTCTCCTTTTTCCTCCTCCTTCTTCCTTTTCCTTCTCCTTTCTCCTTCTCCCTTCTCCTTCTCCTTTTCCCTTCTCCTTTTCCTCTTTATTTTTCCTCCTCCCTTTTCTCTCCTCAACACTTCCAGGGATAGAGAATCCACAACTTCCCTGGGCAACCCCATCCAGCATCTTCCCACCCTTATCCTAAGGAATTTCCTCTTTATGTCCAACCTAAACCTTCCCCCTTCCCATTTAATTCCCTCCCCACCTCATCCCATCACTCCAGGCCCTCCTAAAAAGTCTTTCCCACATTCCCACAGGACATTCCCACAGGACATTCCCAGCCCCAGCTCCGAGAGCAGCTCAGCAACTAATTTATTCCTCCAGAAACTTCCTTCTTCTCCAAAAAGCTTTAACTGGAGGGGAACGGAAGTGCTTCCCAAGGACAAAAAAACTCCAGAATCCCAATTTTTGGCTGAGAACAGCAAGACTCCGGAGCGTGGGCTCAAGGGAAGGAGGTGTCTCTCGGGATAGATGGAAAACGGGGAGGAAAATGGGAGCAACAGGGAAAGAAAGTGCTGCAGGATCCTAAAGGAAAAGCTGTTCCCATTTATCGACTGGGAATTGGTTGGGAACCTCTTTTGTCTCCTCTGTGTTCAAATCCATTGGAGTTGGGATGGTTTGAGTTTCCATGGAAGCAGGAAGGACCAACCACGGAATATAATTTTTTTCTCAGCGGGAAAAGCAGCTCCACAGGGATTAATCCCAGGATATCCCAAGTCCTCTGCTCTGTGGGAAGAGGATCCTGGGGGTTAATGAACCCCCCAGCAAAATGGGAGTGAGGAGGTGTCAGAGACCACTGGGAATTGCAGGATCCAGCTCCAGAATTCCCAAAATCAGAAGGACATGGAGCTGCTGGAGCGAATCCAGAGGAGGCCACGGAGATGCTCCAAGGGCTGGAGCCCCTCTGCTCTGGAGCCAGGCTGGGAGAGTTGGGAATGTCCAGCCTGGAGAAGGGAAACTCCAGGGAAACCTTGGAGCCCCTTGCAGGGCCTAAAGGGGCTCCAGGAGAGCTGGAGAGGGACTGGGTACAAGGGATGAAGGGACAGCACCCAGGGAATGGCTTCCCAGGGTTAGATGGGATATTGGGAAGGAATTCTTGGCTGAGAGGGTGGGGAGGGACTGGACTGGAATTCCCAGAGAAGCTGTGGCTGCCCCATCCCTGGGAGTGTCCAAGGGCAGGTTGGAGCAACCTGGGATAGTGGAAGGTGTCCCTTCCATGGAATTCCATGATCTTTCTGCTCCCTCCCAACCCAAACTATTCCATGATTCTCTGAACGACCCCATCAGCTCCTGGAAATGGGAATGTGGCTTTTCCTTTCCCGTTTCCAAGGGATACAACCAACCCCCCACGAGACCACAAATATTTGCCCCCGTGAAAACATTCCCATGGATCCAGCTGCAGTTGGGAAGGAGAGAGGAACTTTGCTCCCCGACCACTTTGGACTTTTCCCCGCTTGGAAAGGTCGAGAAACAAATCCCTGCACTGACAGTGGTAAATATTTGGATTAGGAATGTGGGTTGGATGTTCAGCTGGACCGGCACCACTCGGCAGAGCTTTTCCTGGATTCCATGTTGATCCAGGGCTCTGGATCTGTCCCAGTTTAGTGCAGTTACAGCCCCAACATTCCCACCTTGCAGGACCTGGCGAATCCATGGGAGTCTCCAGTTCCTCCGCTCCTTCCAGGGATCCATAGGGAACTTTCCTTTGGGTTATCAGAGGTCACAGAGGAAATTAAACTTCCTTAATTCCTTCCAGAATCAATTTTTCCAGCTGCAGCTCCTCCTTGTTTATTGGCATCTCCCGATGGAACCATGACTCTTCCTTCCCAGCAGCTCCACGATGTCCTAACACCTCCTCTGACCTCCATGGAACAGTCATCCCAAAGTTTTCCAGAAGAATTTTGGGACACCGGTA